TAAGTTAGTAATTCATTATTATAATATCAAAAATTAAATTTTCACATAAAATCTAAATTGGTATTTTGAAATGTAACAAAACATTAATTTGAATGAATTTTATTATATTTTATTATGAACAATATTAATGTACACCTGCAACTTGCATTAATCTTATTTTATACATATGCATAAACCCATTTGACCCCTTGATTTACAAGGAGTAATTGTTCTAAATGGTATTTTTGGGCTGCAATTATTTGAAAAAATTATAGACCTATAAATTCCCACTGTCATTTGTCTGTCTTTCCTTAATCTTGAGAATGGAGTTAAGTAGATGAAATCCGAGACCAGATATGGAAAACCTTTTGGACAGGAGGCTCCAATTAACTATATATGAACTTCTGATGCAAACTGGAAGCTATGTTATTTTAATTCAAAACTTTCCCCTAAAAGCAGCTAATAGATGACTAGCATAACTCTATTGTTAAAGGAAAAGTATGATGTACAGAGGCAAGCCACTACTAATTTGAGGCAGAGAGCATTTTAAATTAAATAAATTAAAAATGTGATTAAAAATTGCAGCCCAGCATTGTGATAATGTCACAATAAATAATTGCTCATTATGAAGTTAAAAACTGCATAACGAGTCCAAATTGAGTCCATTAATAAAAAACAAACGCTTATGTATGTTTTAAAAATATTTATTTTGTATTAATTTCATGTATAAAAATTTATCCTTAGCTATTTTTAACACACTGATTGTTACTAATTTTTCACTTTGTCACAATTAAAACTGATTAATGTCGACTAGAAATCTCACTAATTCCATATTTAAAAAAAAAAATGTTCTAACATGCAAAATATTTATATGTCTATGCCTGCTCTTGTGAAATACATGCATTCAAAGGATTATTTAGAACTTTTATCTTTTTTAAGTATTCAAAGGTTTTTTGTTTTTTATCTGTTTGTGATATTACAATGTAACTGTGTAATCTAGAGATTCTCTTCACAAACTGTGCACTTTTTATTTCTTTCTTCTTTATTAAAATCATGCTGATCATTGATTTAGCCATATCACATTCACTCAATTTCCTACATTTTTTCCATTTCCTCACTTAGGCATGAAAAAAATAATAATAATTTCCAAGTTAATTTCTCACTGTTTTGCCAATTATAGCTAAAATTATATAGAAGAAGAATTTTAAAAATGTACTTTTTAATTGCTGAAGATATAAATAAACATATTTGAACCTTACAAACTATAATAAAGACAATGACTAATCAAAGTAGGAAAACCTCAACATGTCATATGCATGTACTGTACATGCCTTGTTGGTCAATAGTATTCCTCTGTGTTCATTGAAGGAAGCATCTATGTTTTTTGTAACATTTTGATTTTTGTAGATAAAAATTCTTTGTTGTAGCATCATTCATTCTAGTATATCTCAATATATATGACCATAATTATATTATTTGGAGTAATAAATTAATGAACTAATCTATGTACAAATAAATTTTTTTACTCTTTCTGTTCTGTAGGCACTAAGATTTCTATTTATTCTTATCCATTAAGGGTTTAATTGTAATAGCTATCTCAGCCTAGCTGTCAAATAAATAAAAATAATGCAATTATTTAGTTTTTAATTCAATAAACATATTTAATGTTTGTTCATTTACTTATTCAAGAAAAATTACAAGAAAAATCCTCAGATTAATAGATACATTAAAATAGAGTCTAAATCAAGGACAGATTTCTGAAAATTTAAATCTCAATAGATATAGACTGGAGATTTAATACTTATAAGTTAATCACCAAACATATGCCGTAAATCCATCGGGCTAGTTTTAAGGCTAATTACTAAATAAATTACGTAATTAATTTGGCACTAGAGGTAAGCGTTAGGCGCCATCTCTTATTAATATTAATAATTATAAATAAATTAATTAATTTAAATAATTTAGAACCGCTGGGAGAAAAAATCGGCCCGGAGCGGGACTCGAACCCACAACTCCTGCTTACCGTGCAGATGCGTTGCCAGTTACGCTATCCGGACCTCCGATCCGATCTCCTCTTCCAGCGTATAACTATGTAACCATCGACGGTTATTACAATGCCGGCTGGGGACACATTCAGTGCCCACGTCCTACTCCTATAAGGCACTCAACCGGCCATCGCAAGCCCCGGCAAGGCGTAATATATATAAACATCGCTAAACCCGATGTAATATAGCTAATCACCAAACATATGCCGTAAATCCATCGGGCTAGCCCGATGGATTTACGGCATATGTTTGGTGATTAGCTATATTACATCGGGTTTAGCGATGTTTATATATAAATACTTATAAGTTTTATCAGATTGACACAGGATCAAATTTTCAACATAATTATTGTTTCTAGTTTTTGTTTGCTTTTTTATTATTATTTATAATAAAACTGACATTTAACATTACTAAAATTTATATTTTTTTCAAATAAAAATGAAACTAGTATCAGTTAAAATTAAATAGATATTTGTTACATGCTAGATTTATTCTGGCATTAGTATTTGCAGAGATTTGATATTTATTAGAGAATTGTTGTTTACATTAGAACTAATTATGAAGCTATAAAATTGCTAGTATTAATTCTGAACTTTAATTAGGAAATTATACATCTAGTTAAATTTCTGTAATTATATTATTTTGATCAGATGTTTTCATTTGTCAAAATAAGATTACCTTTTTGTTTTCTTTCTTTGATATCCATGAAAATTCCTTATAAATTTTTAATGTTTTAGCCATTAGCATAAGAATATGATCTTTATAATTTTTTATTTTTAATTAATAACTTTTGCCATCAAGAATTATTTGTTCTTTGTAGAAAATATTTCTTATTAGTAAAGAATGCAACTGAGCTGATTTTAGCAATTGTATTGGAAACTGTTTATAATCTACTTATTCTGCAAGTAGTAACATCCTACTTATTTAAGAACAATCATTTCAAATTGTGATCTCAGAAGATATATTTTAGTAATGATTTTTAACATCAGGTAAGGAAACCATGAATGTAAATGGTTCATCCTAATTTCTGGGGACCTACAGTTTTAATCATCAGTGAACTCTAGCATCAATAAATTAGTAAAATTTTTGCTATGTCTGAAACATTTTAACAATTATTATGCCAATAAGTAAATTTTTGTATTCATTTGCTTTTTGCAGTTATCTGTTTTCAGATGTAGATTGACTAAATTCAGTTCTAACATAGTTTAATTCTACTGCTACAGCTACAACTACATTGTGGCATTTTGGTCTTATATTTTTTAGCTTAAACTGCAAAATTTTCAATCATTTTATTTTTTAAGCTAGTATGATATGAAGCAAATTAATATTGACATTATAAATATTTTGGACATCTTATTATTGTACTTTTCTACACACTGACCTAAATTTTTTCCATTTATCCTACAAAGTAAAAGCTCAATATAACAGATCACCATGGGACCGAAGAAATTAGTCCATTATAATGAAAGTCCATTTTATCATGATTACCCATTACTATGGACTTGTCCATTATATTGAAAAGTCCATTATTATGCAGTAGAATCACATCAAAATGGATCTTGATAATGGACCTGGAGAAAATATCTACTGTTCACTAATGTTTTCTCCATTTCAGGAGCCAAATCAATGTATTTTTACCTCATTTCAGCAGATCTGTTACCATGAATATAAGGGGATTCTACTGTATATAGTAACACTTACTTGTCCATTACTGTATATTAATATTGTAGACAAAAGTCAATTAGGTAGTGGACAAAATTTCAGTTGTAAAGTATAGTCAGACATTATTTTTACAAGTGTAATAAAAATCTGTCTATCAGTAAAACTAAAGCTTTTTGTTTTCTTTTATGATTTATGGCTTTGCTTTACACAACAAATCCAAGACTTGTCACTCAGAGAAAACAAAACAAAAACTAGACGCAGTTTTATATTTATTTTTTGCAAATAAAGTAAATAAAACAATGACCATGATGAAATAAATAAAATGCTGATTGTAAAGAAATAAAACAGTGACTAAAATGTCCATAATAATAGAAGGACAGTGGTCTGCAGGACCTGAAAAATAATTCATAGCAGTGGGAATCGAATCCATTATAAAGGAGTCCATTACAGTGAATGAGTTTTTTTATAATTTTCCTACACTTTTGGCTGGACCATCAGTCGTCTGTTATAATGTGAGATCCTTTATATTGGGGTCCATAATATCAAGCATTTACTGTATTTCTCTATAGTGTGTATAAAAATTTATATGCAATTATATAAAAATTTGAATTAAGAATTACAAAATTATTTGTGATTGTTCTTTATTGAAATGAACTAAGAAGGAACTTGAAAGACTAAAAAATGAATAATAAAGAAACAACTTCAAATTCTTTAAAAATATAACAAGATAAAAAAATTGTTATATTGTTTGTTTCCTGATGATGGTCATGGTTGCTTAAAAGAGCTTGAGAAAAACTGTTATTAAAGTGAACTCTGAAAAAGCAGATTTTTTGTTATATTATGACTCAAAAATATTTCTTGGTATACAAGTTTCAGGTTAATATACTTTTGGTATTTTGGTTGTTTCATTTGTTATAAATTTATGTTTGAATAATGTAATTTTCCATTTTGTTGTTTTAATTTTTCATTAAATTATAATTGTTCTATATAATTATTATTTTCATTTTCAATAATAAGAATTTATACATTGTTCGTTCTCTCTGGTGGAGACAAATTTTGTCTTTAAAATTATTATTAATTTATTAGTCTTAATTCTTTTTAATAAACTAGTTCAATCAATTTCTTACATCTGTTTTTATTTGTTTTATCTAAAATTGATTATTTTCATAAATCAATAGTTTGAAAAAGATTCAAGATAACAGAATAATCTTTTATTTGTACAGTTTTATTACTAAAACAATGTTCTAAAAATTTTTAAAATAAAATATTAGATTTCTTTTACATATATATAATTTTGCATTTAATTTGATTCAGGTGGAAATTTACAACTAGAAACACCATGGTTTACGGGTTCACAAGAACGCTCTCCAGATACTTCTGGCAGACCAACTCCTTCACCAGTTCCTAGTCAAGAAGTACCACCTTTATCTGCTGAACAGATCGAAAATCTTATAAAGGTAAAGACAAAAAATTAAAATGCTCAACATATAAATTCATTAGAAATTTAAAATCTGTCTAATTTATTTTATTTTTGAATTATAATAAAATGGAAAGTTTACATTAATTTTAAATTTGATGACAGTTATGTTAACATTCAATCATTATATCATGTTCAGTGCAAGTTAATTTTGAGTGAATAAATTAATTATTTAAAATACACTTTTTGAACTAAAATGAGCAAGAAATAAGATGCATTTGAGCTGTATAATGCTATATGAGAATCAGAAAGAAAATTGATATAACTACAGTTTATAAAGAACTATATTACTTTTATAAATTGTTTACAGACAGTTTAGACATTAAAAAATAAATCTATAAAGGCTATCTAGTAAAAATTTATTATGACTAAAATCCAGGTATTAATTAAAAAAGACAAACATTTTACAGTTCAAGATTGCAAAAACTGTAAACATATATTAAATACAGGTGACAATCTTATCAAAAGCCAATCTTCATGTTTTGTCATTTAAGTTTTGAATTTTTCATTAATATCTAATTTTATGGTCTATTATAGACTCTTCTGTACTCCTCAAAAATAGATATTGCTTAAATAAACTTTTTAATATTAAATAACTTTTTATACTTTTTCTTAACTAAATCAAGTTGATTTTGCAAGATGCTAACTAGGTTTTCCTGATTTTAATGGTTATATGAAATATTTAGATTGTATTTTAATGTATAAATCTTTTTAATGATATTTTATATTCAGATGAGCTCTGTTTTTGAGTTCCAGCATATTTTATTCAAGATATATTTTGTTCTTCCACATACTGCTCTCATTTAAGCATTTCAGAATGTTTATTTTTTCCCATGCTGTTTGCCCACTTGAGGACAGGCTTTGTATTTTCTTAGGTTTAAATTTGTATGTAAAAGAATTCTTTATATCTTACTATTATGTAAATTTTGTTTTAGTTTTAAAATTTTATTTAATGATTAAATTTCTTTGTAAATTTTTTATGTATGCTTAATATTTAAATAGTATTTTAATTTTGAAATACAGTATATAACAATAGAAAGATATTCATATCAAATGACTACAAATAAGTAATAAAACTCTCGATATCAAAATTTATAATATGATTTATTTTTATATTTACAGACTGCAGAACAGGTTACAGAGTACTGCCGAGCTCCACTGGAACGACGTCGCTCCAGTTTAGCAGGCAGCACTGGGAGCAGTGGCTCCTCAACTGTACCTTTCAGTACTCCTGCACGTCATTTATCAGATGCTGAAAAGTTGCGTAAAGTCATTATGGAGTTAATTGAAACTGAGAGAACTTATGTTAAGGTAGATGGTACTTTTGTATACAACATACTTAACAGAAAGATTATATTTAATTTTTTAATTTACTATTGAAAATTAAACTGAATTAAAATTTCATTTATTTTTGTATTAAAACATAAATTTAGATTTTGTATAAATTTTGATATATTAATTTTGTAAATTATTCAAAAATTTAATGTTTCATTTTAGTAGTAACTGTTGCCTTAATGTTAAAAGATTTAGATAAATAAAAAAAAAATTGATAAAATTTAATTGAATAATAGGAAAATGTAAATTACATAGATTTTAATGAATGAATTAATAATTAAAATTTGAATTTTTGTGGTAATATCTTATTTCAATTTTTTCATAATTGTAAACAACATTAAATAAAAATTTATTATATAAGCAATTTAAGGTATGATACAAATATTGTAACTTACATTTTTCATTTAGATTAAATAAAATTCCAGGCACAGTATCTAAATATTTAGTTGCATATGTAGAAACCCCGATGTGGATTTGACTCCCTATCAATTTCATACCCCTTTCCTATTAATTAAAAAAAATCAAACTCCATTTGACTGCTTTGTTTGATATACAATCCTTTGTATTGTCGCAGCACATGAGCGACCTGATAGAGTGGTATGTGGATGCATTGCAAAAGGTAAATGTCTCCTACACCAACTCCTCCATAAATCTCACAATTTTTCTTGTTTTATAGTTTTTATCTGAATAAATAAAAAATGAACGTATATGATGCATGAGTCAAACTTTTTTAAAATCTCATTTTATCTTCTTCAAATTAATCTAAAACATGATTATTTTTTAAGTGAAATTGATCTGAATATTTATTGCATTACTATTAAAGGAAAACTTAATAATATATTTGAATTTTTTAAATTGTATTATAATAATACTGACATATCTTATTTTGTTGTAATTCAAAATTCTGTAATTATTAAATTAATGCTTATTTTTCTTATTTTATATCAAATAATTATAACTTTTAAAAATTTTATACTTTATTTGCGTTCATTATCACTGAAAATAACAAGTTTAAATTTAAATAAATCAGCAATATCTTAACTCTTAAAAAATTGAAAATTAAACATTTTTCAGAATTAAATATTTTCATTTTATTTACTAAAAGCTTTGGCCAATTTTTAATTTCACAATGTGAAAGTATTTGTTTTTGAAAAAGTTCATCTATAATATTTTTAATTTTTTATGAGTTAAAATGCTGATGATTTATATAATTTAAACTTTTGTTGTTTTATTTTTTATGTTAAAATATTGGAATATTATTATTAATATAAATTGACAATGTAGTATCTTGTTCAGTTCTGTTGTATTGGATGAGATATAAAAGATGGGAAATTTTTTAATAGGATAAAATATATCAATACCAAATTTTAACTGATAAATTATTTTGGAACAACATAAAATAAGAAACAGAATAAAATTAGAACAGAAGAAAATGTTCTTTTCTATTGCTGGTAGTTTACGTATGTTCTCATATGCAAAGTTTTAAACTTTTAAAGTAAAATAAAATATTAAAGCTTGTAAGCATTGAGAAATTAGCAAAAATCATTATATTCTCATGATTTGTTTTATAGTAATCATTATTAAGAAATTTTATCATAATTTATACTCTTTAGTAACAAAAAAAAGTTGATTAAACAACAGAGTGCAGAGAAAACACTTATAATAATAATAAATATGATTTAATTTTAAAGAAATAAGAAAAATATAGAACCTGTATAAAAGTTTAAATAAAATAAAATTATTTGCCTCTGATTCTAAGGATTTTTTTTTTTTGAAATTTACATTTTTTAATATGATTTTGTATTATTTTTTATACCATTATTTTTTATTCCATTTGTAATTAAACTATTAAAAAATTATTTTCATAAATTTTGTTATCAGCTTAATTTAATTTATGATTGCTTTAATTTGATATTGACCTTTCAATATTTTCTTCTTATAACAACAATTATTAATTACTTTGATAACTTCTGCTCATTAAAAAATATTTTAACATATCTATATATATCTCATTCAATACAAACTTTTCAGCTATTTTTTACTTTAGTTTCAAAATTTTATATTTGAAATGGTTAATTTGTATTATTATTATTATTACTTTTTATATTTTTTTTAAAGTATTGCTTAAAAATTTTAATAATGAAACATGATATAATTTTCAAACATTATAAGTCAGTCAGTCCTAATGTATTTATATTGGTCTTAAATTAAATTATATTAATTTAGTTATATTAAATATTTTAATGGAATGTGCAAAATTTTGTTTAATTAATTTCTATTAATATTTGATTTTAAAATATTATTAATCTATTAAGATTTGTTTTGTAATTTTAAAAATCTCAAGATTTAATTTCTGTAAAGAAATAGAAATGTATTTAAGGAAAGTTTATTTAAAATAAATATATTTCCTTAAATATCTATTTTTCATTAAATAAAAACAATTTAGAGATAATTTATCAATAATTTATGTTAGTTTTTGGATAATTAAAAATTTAATCTATGAATTATCAAGGAAAACAATTATTATATAATGCAATTCTACACAGAAAATAAATATCTTCTTTTGAGATTTTTTGGACATAATTTATTTGAATATCTTTCTTANGATAAAGATAATCTCAAATATGATTTTATTGGTAGCAAATTATTTTATACAGTTTATATTTAAAACACTAAATAAACTCGTATTGGACTGTTGTGTAACAAAGTTTCATTAAATGTAATTTATTATTAAAGCTAAATTTACATGAAGTATAAAAGTCATTTTTAACAATAAATTAAAGTTATGTAATTATCGATAGATAAGAAGACAAAACCCTTTTTTTATATATAAACTTTATTTTGTACTAAAAAAAATGTTTTTTTTTATTTATTTATCAAATTTACAGAAAATGTTCCTTTAAAACATTTGTATTAAAATTAATTTGAATACAAATGAACCATGCAATGCCTGTTGTAAATGCCAAAAAAAAACTTTTCTGGAGAGGTAAAAAAACACTTTTTCTAGTGAATGAATTCATTTCAATTTTACAATAAAATGGTAAAAAAAAACTTACTAGTTACAAATTCTTTGAAATGTCAAAATGATGTAAATATAACCTGTAATGTTTTAAGTGTCAAAAGTAGTTGCACTTTTGGGCTTTAAACATTATGGCTTTACATAAATTCAACTTCAAAATACAGTCACTTATAGCACCACTATCACCACAATTATTTTTTGCAGCAGAAAACATTGAATTTAGAATTCAATTCTTCAATAAAATGTATTTAGAGAAAAATGGCATTTAAAATATTATGGCGTTACATGCTCCAAATGTTTAATACATTTGTTGTAAATTTGAACTTTTTTCAACATACAAATGATGTTTTAAACTTGATTTTATTAATAAAAAATATGTAGAAAAAGTAATACATTAATATATATTGCTTTTATACATAGTTTTTGAATTTTTAAAATTTCTATTTAAAAAGATCATAAAGAATGAGTAATTTCTAAGTAGAACATAAGCAACTCAAAAAATATTCTAATATTGACTCAGTTGTGATTTGAAAATACATAACTGAAAAATAAATTTTATTTCTATATATATATATATCTTTAAAATTTTTTTACCTGCAGGAGTAGGTTTATATTAAATATTTATCATTTACAGTGTCATAGCCACAGGGAGCTATGAAGTGGCTAAGCTTCCTAAAAAATATTATAGCCCCAGCATAGTCAGTGGTATCCATATTGTATTCATGCTGAATGTTAAAACTAACTGACCTCCTAATTAAAGAACAAATTTATGTATAAATTCAAGAATTATTTCCACATTATTTTCATTTCTTTTATTTAAAGCAAACATTTTAATCTAGTTGTTAGACAGACAGTATGAGTAGAGTTTTCATTCTTAATATTTTTTTTTGTCAATGCTTTCTATATTCACTTCTTCATTGCTTATTCCAATAACTTTGTGATATTTTTCTGCAGCAACATTGTTATATCAGGACAGCTATATTCATACCATATATAATGCTTTAATAATAAGAAAATTTTTTAAAAAGAATATTTTAGAATATTTTTATACATTCTATTTTTTTTTAGTATAAAAGTATATCATCTATAGAAGTACATTGAGTTTTCATTTTGAAATTCTATTATAATAAACCTGTAACCTGAAGTTCAAATTTCAAATAAATTGAACTGTTGTGGTAAGTGTTGTTTTTTTTATTGTTTTATTTTAATGTGGAAACAAGAAATGGATTTTTCCAAGTTTTTTAGTAGATCTATTATTTTATATATAGAAGTATAATTAAGAACAGAACCTGATCTCCTCTCAAATGGGCAGAAATAAAATGATAAATAATTAATGTATATCGATGCATCAAACATACAAATATTTGTAAACAAATAATCAAATATATAAATACTAAATTATATATACAGAACTTTTGAAAATAATATATATTTTTGTATTGTAATTCTTTGATGTTTATTAATTATAGTCATAAAGTTATTGTATTGAAATCTGTGTCAGTTTAACATTGAATTACAGGTAGCCCTCGGTTTACGCCTCTGTTCCATTCCTACAAAAGCTGGCACAAATCGAATTGGCATAAAATGAACCCATATTTACACTGAGGTATAGGGTTAGGTTCTACATAAGTGAAAAATACACAAATAATTTTGTTTGTTAATGCAATATAATACAAATAAATTTAATTTTTAAAATGTATTTTATCATACAATAAAGTGAAATGTTTTTATTAAAAAATTTTAGTTTTGGATCTCTCATTTTTTGGAAAAAGTATCCATCTTTAATTGTTTGAATTTTTGTTTTCTTTCATTGACAATTTCGGAATATGGTCGAATGGATGCGATGATGTTCCTTTTTACATTTGCACTTAGCTCTCAATCATTGTCTAATTCACAAAATTCATCCATATTTTATTCATATTCGGGTTAACATATCCTTTCAATCATAGTTGAAAGGATATGTTAACCCAACATAGAGTTACAGACGAGTGGAGACACTGATTGGTCGACCACCGGTCGCCATAGCACATATATAAGGTCAGTTTGAGCGAGAAAATTCAAGGTGGCTAAGAGAGATAGATATCATCTGACTGACAAGAAGTAGATATTGTCTGGCTAATAAAAAGTATCGTCTGTCCAACAAGAAGTAGATTTGTCTTACTAATGATAGTTTGTGATCGCTGGTAGTTCTACTGTGTTGTAAGGTGTTTTCCTGAACGAACTGATACTGGATACATTCATTGGCGCTATGGATTCGGACGCCATTTATTGGACTATTAAGTTTGATAACTTGACTCGTGGGTACCTAAACATTTAGTATTTTACTATTAATTTAATGCAAATGTATACATACCCAATAATATTAAACAGAAAAAATAAATATATTGAATAAAAATCTTTGTTTTAATGAATGTACAATGTCGTGGCTCGGTAAATACATCAACACTGAAATGAAAATCAGTCTAGCATAGGGAAAATCGGGGAATTACACCGCAAAACGGTGAATTGTGCAGCTGCGTTATTGTGAATCAGCGTAAATTGAGCCAGCATAAAGCGAGGGCTACCTGTATTAGATTCTGTTT